TATAACGCGTTATATATTTTTGGCGCATTATATGCATAATGCGGCAAATATATATATATATATATACGTATATATATATGCGATCTTTCAGTGGTATGCATTTTTGCATTTATCTGTAATGCAAAAACGCATGAAAATTGGATTAGTTAATTTCTGCTCATTGAGTTGTTTCTGCTGCTCCAATGTCCTAACACCCGGACTTTTTTCAAGTTGACTTCGCCTTTCATAGGAAGCGTTATGTTGAGGAATTTTTGACTCTGTATTTCATATTTGTATTTCTTCTGATTCTACGAAGAATTTAGAATCAATTTTTAATTGTCGAATAAGTTGAAAAAATGCTGAGCAGTTATTTGCAACAAACTTCAAAGGAAAATGTTTTGAATAATGCCCTTTACTAGTCACTACACTGAATAGCATTATACAGTGCGCACTTTGGTTTACACAGTGTGCAAACAGATGTATACATTCTGGCCAGTTATTTTAGGGGGCATTTGGTGTGGCCGGATGGACGAGAATATCGTGGAAATTTTGTTGATGGACATTTCGAGGGGTACTTCTTTTAATTTTTATTCTTTTTCTGTTTCTGTTAAAGTTATACGAAATTGATTTAATTTGATTTAATTTTTTCTGTTAATGGCGTTTTGAAAGTGGTTTTAGATTAAGAAAGAAATTCGAACCATTTTTTGAAATTTTTGAAAATTTCTAGGTTTGGGAAGATGTCGCTGCCTGCAGAAATTTCGCGGACCACTGCAACATTCTACTTCGGTATGAAAAGAGAGCCTGTGGTCGATGTCTTTACTGGTTTTTGGCGTGATGGTCAGCTGAATGGACTAGCGCATATTAGGCTGGTTGCATTGTCCCTTACGCTGTGATCCAGAGAAATTTTGTGAAACGTTTAAATCTTCAAAATAAGAAATACTCTAGGATTTTCTTTTTATGCGTTTTTTGCAGTAATGCAATGCGAAAAACGCATATTGACGAGAGGTTGTCTGTGTGTGTGTGTCTGTGTGTGTTTGTGTGTGTGTGTGTCTGTGTGTGTTTGTGTGTGTGTCTGTGTGTGCGCTGGGCCTCTGTACCGATTTTTCATCTCGAGAGCGGCAAAAGCTACGGGGCTGGAACTTTGGGGTCATAATCTACATACACGTACGGGCCCCCATCCATAAAATTGGCGCCAGAACCCGCGTGGTACCCGCGTACGGGCTCCCCAAAGTTTTTTTGGGGTCGGTCCATAGCTCGAGGATCTGAGAAGCTAGAAGGCTGAAATCTTGGGGTGATGTTCCCAGCCCAAGCGGGTATTAGTGGGCTCAAACCCAGACCCCGGGTAAGCATGGTACCCCCGTACGAGCCCGCCAAAATTTTTTCTCGGGTAAGCTCATAACTCGGGGATCTGAGAAGGTAGAGGGCTGAAAATTTGGGATAATGTTTCCCACCCAAGCGGCTATTAGTGGACTCAAATCCAGCCCCCGGTTAAGCGTGGTACCCGTGTACGGACCCCCCAAAATTTTTCCCGCGCAA